TTTCTACTGCCACAGAAAAGCTTAAAATTTTGCTGGCTTGTAACACTTGAGTTTGAAGTCTGACAGTACCTCTCATGTTTTCTGTTTGGTGAGGAAATATCTTAGATACACTCATTTAATTGTTTAAGAAGTCATTAAATATTTATTTGGATTTATGGTTATGTAATATTTGGTGGTGTTGGAAGGTAAGGTACTTGGGGCTCAGAATCCTTCTGTGAATGGGAGATCTAACAACTGGGTTGGCTCAAAATCAATGTCTGCCAGAAACCCTTGTAAGCTTGTTAGCTTTGTAAGCTGCAGGCTGTGAAGGACATATGGTGAGTGCAGAGTAAGAGACTAATGAAGGCCTTAATGGTCCTAAAGGATAAGCAGGACAGGGCCAGATTCAGGTGGATCCAGACTGACTGTGGTTGAGGCAGATGGGAGGCAGTGCCATTTCCAAACTGGAATTTATCTTGCTTTCTTTGTGCTTAGCAGTATTTGTTCCCTCCTCAAAAAGGAGTTTTAGAACTGATGCTGAGTGAGTCTTCTAGTAACAAGCTCATGCCATGCTTTGCCACTCTGATCTTGTAGGATCATGGGATTTGTTTGTGACACAGATAAAAAGAGGCTAACTATATAATTTGTGCAACAAATTTGTCATGATTTATAATTTGGGATTGGAAAGGAATGACACACATAAAGGACTGAGTTGAGCAGGGCATGTAAAGCATCCCAGAAATGTTACCTGTCATTGTTGGTGTGGCTGTCATTCTCCATGTGCCCAGGGTGGAAGCTCAAAGTAAACAACTTGGCTAGTTTTCATGAGTCAGCCACTCTGATCCTGTTTTCTTGGGTGACCAAAGCTGTCAATTGGTGGGGTGGTAGGGCCCACCGAAAAGAGCACAGGGCACGTAAGCATGGCCAGTCCTGTGTGGTATGCTGTACTTGGAGCCCTCAGAAACCACTAAAAACCCATTTGGAACTTTGTGTCAGGACCTGGTTTCCAGCAGTGGCTGTGTGAATTAAGAGGTTTGCAGCTGAGAGCACCAGAGGGCAACTCTTGGCTGGGCTTCATTTCTAGATAAGTGTTGCTGCTTGCCTTGAAGACTTCAGTACTCCCTTGTGCTAAGTTGGTGGAGAATAGCCCATTATTCTTGCCACAATGCTGTTACTCCCTTGCATTGCTGTAGATCAGACAAGCAACAACATTGAGTGCAAGTGTTCTAACCTTTCCACCCTAGCCAAAGAAAACAAAACTTCCCTCTTCAATTTTTTCTTATAGATAAATCTGGCTGCTAGCTTTTTTTTTCTACTATCTCTCATTTAAGTTCTCAATTGTTTGAAAGAACTAGAGAACACTAAGAATCAGCATCCCTTTTTGTTTCTAGGGCAATTTAACTCTTCCCCGCCCTCCAGATAAGACAGACCAGAGACCCAAGGGAGGGTGTGGATTGGAAAGGAATGATAGGCCAAGATGAAAATGAAGCCCTGAAACGCATGCCTCTAATCTCAGCACTCAGGCTGAGTAAGGATGGTGAATTCAAGATCAGCCTGGGCTGATGGACTGTCAACATGAAGGGTGCTGGCTGGCTGGACTGCTGTGGAATATACCAGTTGTCTAGCTTCCATGTGAAACTTAAGTGGGGGGGAGGGGCTTGGAGGAGCTTTTCCTCTGGCCACAGGTGGTTCACTTCCTAGGCTTTTTCTAATCACCTAGTGGATTGGTCAGCACCTCCTTATCAACTTTTTTGGATTGACTGGCTTTAATCTTTATTTGGATATTTTCTTTTTTGGGGGGTGGGGGGAGGTCCGGTCGGGGGCCTGAACTCTGGGCCTGGGTGCTGTCCCTCAGCTCTTCAGCTCAAGGATAGCGTTCTACCACTTGAGCCACAGCACCACTTGTGGATTTTTTTTTTTCTGCTTATGTGGTGCTGAGGAATCGAACCGAGGGCCTCAGGCATGCAAGGCAAGCGCTCTACCACTGAGCCATTTTCCCAGCCCTATTTGGATATTTTCTATGGTTGTAATTGCTGTCATTTTTTCTTAAAGGTGATTTTTTTTTTCTTCCTCCACAGCCTGCTTCACAATCAAAGTCATTGGCACCAAACCTTTTTATAAATTGCAACCAGTAAGAGTTGGTGTTAGCTGACTATCAGGTGCCATATTTTGTACAAATTAACTTCACTGTGCAGTGGAAGCACAGATGGAATCAGATTGTTTATAGCCTCCCATTTCCTTAGGTTCAAATAGTGAGTGTTGCAATCTCTTGTAAGCTGAAGTGCCTCTGGGAAATGTCAGTCCCTTCTACTGGCATGCACACCACTCCCAGATCTTTGGCTATAGCTGTTTGCACAGCCTCATGGGAAGAGCAAACATTGTGGTTATGCACCCTTGGGTGATGTGCTTAAGTGTATTTGTGCCAAACTGGTTGAAGCAGAACCAGAAGCAGCCCTCACATCCTAGGTGGTTGGTTTGCTCGCGTTAGTTGAAAGAGCAGAACCATTGTAGTTGGGAAGGGAAAAAGAGCTGAGACAGAAATAGACCATTAAGTGATGCTCCCTTCTTAAAAGTAAAACCTTCCTTTCTCAATTTAGCAGAGCATGGGCCTTGGAGGAAATTCATTTCATGACAGATTACCTTTTTATTGGGAGGAGGAGAGTTGCTGCTTACCATTGAACCAAGGTGATGCTGTGAGGCCCAGGATGACTGAACTCTGTCCTGCCACAACTTCCCACGTGCTGGGATTATAAATATGAGTCTGTATTTACTCTGCTAAGCAGTCATGGTTGGCTACTAGTCAGCTTCAGGTTCAACTTAATTCTGTACTCAGCAGGCTCTGAGTAGCCAAGTGCTCACCATAGAACCAAGTGAACTCAAGAAAGGTTCGTTCTAAGAGTGTAGGTATAGGGTGAGCTTGCAGGACCCAAAGCAAGAGCCACCTGCTGCCTGTCCTACCAGCTCCCTACCCTGGCAGTCACATCATGGCACTGCATGTCTAAGGGCTCTTCTAATAGGAAGATAAAGGTTCAAGACTCACCCTAGAGTTGTTACTTCAATGGAAGTAAAATGAGTCCCCAGCTGACTCAGGTACAAGCGAGGTTGGGAGCCATAACTTTTGTAAAAATTGAACTCAGGCTGAGTATGGTGCCTGGGCTGAGGCAGCCCCTGGTGCTGGGGAGGACCATGAGGGAGAAGGAATACTCTGTTGCTGAGCCCACCAGCAGTGGCCCTGGCAATGAGGCTGTATGAGAGGGGAGCAGTAGACTTGAGAGACACCATAAAAAAGCATGTCTGGCAATGTCAAGCAGGACTGGAGAGGAGCTGGGATTTTGTATTCGATTTAGGCTTTTCTTCCTTTGCAGGTCCCTAAGGGCTGCTGCAAAGGTCTCTTCTCTGCTTGAGAAGAAGGAACTGTTGCTTAGATCTTGGTAACTGGGAGGCCCCTGCTGGGAGCTGCGCTACTCAGCACAGGCTGCTAGCTTCAAAATTACCAAGCACTTTGAAGTTGGATATGCTGTGAAATATTTACATACTAGATAGCCATTTTCTTTCAATGTGGAAAAAACGCTGAAATAATACTGTGGGATATATTGAATTAAAAATACACAATTCATTTTTTAACCTTGCACATGTGGGCTGGTTGACTGCAATTCTAGATCCAATGTTCCATGCACAGGTGAATTGTTGAAAGGACATTGTTGGATCTAGAATGGCACCAAGATCCTGTATTTTTAACAAGATCCCAGGTGACGCTGGTGCTGCAGTTTAAGGATCACACCAGGTACAGGAAGGTTCTGGAGAAATGTAGGAACAGAGTCTTGGACCTAGGGGCGTCTGTAGAAGCTGAAGGTCTTAGCAGGGCTCTTCTTAAAGGCCATTGAGGGAGTTAATAGAACTCACAGTGGTCCTGTACCAGGAAATACGCAACTGCTGCTCCTGCTAGGGACACAACCCGGTCTTCCTTATGCGGAAGTAACTGCTGAAGACACACTAATGTATGTCCTCCATCTACTACTTTCAAAAACTTACATTAAGAGCCACATAAATTTCAGCAGTCTTCCTCATACTTGGGAAAATAAGCTACTAGTAAAGAGGGTAGCAAAGTATCATGTCTTACATTAAATACCACATGCAAAGATGAAGAGCATAAGGAACAGTGACAGGAATCTGACCTAGACGTGTTGATTTCCTAGCTGTAAGGACCTGTGTCCCCGAGGATTTGTCACTCAAATGGCTCTAGCCCCCCTCCTCCCATCAACTTAGTGTCCTTAATTGTCCTGCCAATTTCTCACATTTCTTATGAGTATGGGTGAAAATCAGTGTTGGAACTCAGGGCTTCATGCTTGCTTGGCTTGATTACTCAATGATCTACTTATTTGGACTGTATGTCCAGCCTGACATTTTGCTTGTTTTTTCCTACTGCAGATAAGAGTCTCTGGGATTTTGCTCCCCAGGCTGGCTTCAATGGTGTGAGCCACCATTTTTCACTTTCTAAAGGGAGCCAAAGTCTCCATCACTCCTATCCCTAGTACTGTATCTCACACTTCTTCCTACAACAAAAGGCACAGCAGTCAATGTGGCTTTTGTTATTTTACGCTTTCTTTTTTCTTTTATTGAGAATTGTTCCTGCTGTTTCAGGTAAGTGAATTAAGTATGCCACTTCTAACTCTAAGCAAAATAACCTTTTTCTAGGGTAGTTCTGGGACTTGAACTAAGGGCCTAGGTGCTGTCCCTTACTTAGTTCAAGGCTAGTATTTTACCACTTGAGTCACAGCTCCACTTCTAGCCTTTTGGTAGTTACTTGGAGATAGAGTTTCATGGACTTTCTCGCCCACCAGGCTGGTTTTGAGCCTTGATCCTCAGATCTTGGCCTCCTGAATAGCTAGGATTACAGATGTAAGCCCCTAGTGCTCTGTTCTGTTCTCTAACAACCAAAAGGCTAGAAGTGGAGCTGTGTTTCAAGTGGTAGAGTTCAAGCCCCAGTATTGGCACCAAAAAAGACATACATATTAGCAAAGTACTGTTAAAAAGATTTATTGCAATAATACAATTAAAAGTTTAGAAAATGTATGACTCAAATTGGTTTGGAAGTGACAGAACAAGGGGAATTCCCTCAACATCACACCACAGATACTCTGCAGGTTTAAAAGTAGGATACCAAATGCCCTTTCTTCCTGAAGTATTCTAACCCTGCCCACCATACCCAGTGGGGTGACATACTGTTTTCTCCTTTGTTACAACTGCAAAACTTTCCTTAGTTTTATTCCATTACATAAAAATGTAAGACATTTAATGCAACCTGTAAGATGCCTGTGGGATGTTACAAGTATTCTCTTGTTTGGATCATTTTAAACTGAAAACACCAAGTTCTATGGCTTTTTTTTTTTTTTTTTTTAAGAAAAACTCAGTCTTTTTTTTTTTTAAGAAAGCTGTTTATATATGATTCTGGCACCTAAAGGAGAGATTTTAATGAGCAGCAATAAGTAGAAAAACACAGTGGTTGAAATACACACTCAAGAGTATTTACAGGGTGGATCCAGTGCAAAATGATGAAACCCAAATATTGGCTTATATTCAAAACCATTAAAGGCTTTGATTGCTTAACCAGATATAAAGTGCCTTTATCTGATATCAACACCAGCATGTACTTCTCCAGCAATCCCTAAACGTCCTGCATCCTTGTGTTGTTACTCCAGCCATCAGTTTGTGGTCTCGTTGAGTCCTCTTCTTTAGCTTCACCTCATATTTGTTCATTCTATGTTATCCATTCTATGAATTTCAGCCAACAACCATGAGGCTAAGCACTTAGGAGAACGCTGTTTGCCCACAAGGGGAAGCATGTCTCCTCCCTAAGTGGGACACTCACAAAGCCTAGACTGTGGGCCTCCTGCAACTCCACCCCAAACTAGCAACACCAAAAATCTCCAAGGCAAAGGCCATAGAGCACCTCAGACCTCTGGAGGCAAGGTACCAACTATAATAATTACAATAAGAGAAGCAGCTAGGGCATGGCAAACCTCTGAATGATGCATCTGAGGTATAATCATGCTAATCACACTAGGAAGATAGGTAATAATGTTGGGAGTTTTTCTAGAATTTCTTTTTGAATTACATAGGATTTTTTTGCAGTTATTAAAAATAAAAAATATTTACATATTTTATACATAATGCCTCTCATAGTTTTCTGTAAGATTGTCACTAAGAGAATGACAAGACATGGTGGTTGAAAATAACCTCTCGGTGAAGGAAAGTTATATATAAAGTTCCCCAGGACAGGGTGGAATAGGCCCAGCTGTAAAGATGCTCTGCATTCTGCCCAAGGAGTGTAGAGCAGGAGCAGCCTGTAGCAAACAGAGGAAGGGCTTTCCTGTAAACACCTGCCACCTACTGAATCCCCCAGGGAGAACAGGGCAGGCCACTTAGTTACATGGCTTTGACTCCAGTCCAGGTGGCATTTAGTTCACACAAGGGAGTACCTACTCACAGAAATAAGTTCCTGTTCAAAATGCACATAGGGTGGATAGCAGAAAATGATGCAGGGAAGAATGACCTTGATTTTGATTCTCCTCAGAATACAGGAAATAGGACATTATTGCAGCTAGTGTTTCTTCCGTTTGTGGGTGTGGATTCTACAGAAAAAGACATTGGTTTCTTTGGTGTGTGGGGGGAGGAAAACAGGAATGTGATGAGCTATGACAGAGTGGAACAAATGAAATGCTTTAAACTACTACTCCCCTCAAAAAAAGACCACCCTCTGCAATGAGACCCAGCTCTTGGCTCTAAAACCCTAAGATGACCAAATTATAAAGAAATCAAGTATTTCAAATTGCTGCTGGCTCTCTACAAAAAACAATGGCAGAAAAATAAACTTAGTTTTTGCCTTTCAAGTCATCATCATCATCATCATCACAAATCACTTCCTGTGGCTCAACCAACCTAAAGAGCTAACTTAGTGTGAGGAAGAGACAGCATCATAGGACAACATAGGGTGGGGTCTGTGGAGCCTGGTGCAGGGCCCCACAGGTCCTCCTCCCGCCAGTGCTGCGTAGGCTGAGGGACCACTGTACCTCTGCCCTATCATCCATCACGGGCCACTGCCTGACAAGCAGAAATGCTCATCTCCCTGCTTTAAACAACTGACAGTGGTTAACCTCTGTGTTGCAGGCACTACCGTTAACTACGCGGATGAGGTTCCTAACAGCAGCAGAGCTGTCATGATGCGAATCTGGCCGTTTTGATCCATGCTCACTAACGGTGTCCAGTGTAAGCTTTGAACCAGGAGGTCACTGAGGCTGCAGCGGAGGATATCATCCCACCTGCACTGCTGCTCGAGATGGGTGGGGACACCTGGGAGCTCTGGCTCTGGGAGACTTCCACTGGTTGGGATGGGATGTCACAAAAGCGGGGGCTTGGCAGGTTCTCCCAGTCTGTGCCCAGGTCCGTTTCCTCATCACTTATATGCTCGTCTCCACTCTCATCTGACTCTCCAGCCACTCCAGGATCCACAAACTCCATGGACTCCTCAAGGTCTGCTTGCACCTCAAAGGGTCCTGACCTGTGTGCAGACAGAAGGGCCCATGTTAAGATGACCACAGGCTGTTTCACTTAACCAGAGGCCAAATGCTGTCTTCCCAAGACCCACCCTCTACTCAAAGGGACCAAGCTACCCAGAGCCAGCAATGCACAGTCTCCTGAGGTGCTGCGCACACTGGCGATCTATAACTGAGCTTACTTTACCCCAAATAACATCTGCCATCCAAATTGGGACTAAAATTACAATACAGTATTTTTGCTCAAGTCTACCTATTTGTGAAGACTGACACAAAACCCATCCAGTCTATGCTGGTGGTCCAAGGAGGACTTCCTGTTTTAAATAAGTGTGGTACCCATGCAGTATCATGCAGCATTCCAATGTGACAAAACTAGCTACATGATATATATACTATGGTATACTATTTAGTGTAGCACATGATAAGTGGTATACAAAAACATGTTCCTTGCTTTTCCCAGGGAAGCTCTAAATCATAAACTCTTAAGACCGAAGAGGATGACCAAGCACACTATCAAAACTTCCTTAAACTGTTGTCAATGGCAGGCTCCTGCACGTCTTAAAATATCAAGTTGTAATTGTGTGTTTGTGTGTGTGTGCACGCACACATGCCAATCCTGAGACTTGAATCAGGGCCTGGGCCCTGTCCTCGATGTTTTTTGCTCAAAGCTAGTGCTTTTCCATTTGAGCCACACTTCCACTTATGGCATTTGGGTAGTTAACTGGAGATGAGTCTACAGACTTTCTTGCCTGGGCTGGCCTCAAACTGCAAATCCTCGGATTCCAGACTCCTGAGTAACAAGATTAGAAGCACACTTCACTAGCACTTGACTTCAGTATGCAATTTTTAGGGGCATGTTTGGTACATAGAATAAAATAGGACTAGTCAGTATATTCATCTGCAGCAACTGCACGTTTTTGTACTGTATTTTAGGAGAACTCATTTCTCAACGATCCCAAGAACCCATTCTCAGGCCTCACCTTATGCCAGTCCCTCAGCACCAGTGTGTGACCACACAACAAATCTCACACAGGCTGTGCTAGACAGTCCTGGCTGGCCTCCAACTCTCCTCTAGCCTCCTGCCTTAGCCCTTGTGCAGGAATTACTGGTGTGTTCCACTACACCTAGCTCAGTCTTTTCCTTGTCCCCTTTCAAAGACTTATCAGCTCTGGCTTTGGGAGAGCAGGCAGCTGCCCCTCCATGTACTTCCCCCACAGGGGGAGCCCTAGATCTGGCTAACAGGTGGGACCAAGTCCTTGCAGCAATTCCTCCTATCTCCTTACTATGATCCCCAAGATAAGCACGTCTAGCCCTGGTTCATTTCAAGTTTCACTGATAAAAGTTTGGAGAAAATAACAGACAGAAATGAGAAATGACCTGTTATATAGTTATCTGTGCTCAAAGTTCTTTTGGTCTTTAGAATAAAAGGGCCTGTACTGGCCCCAAGTATACTTCACAGATGTGCAACCTCAAGGACCGCCCAGTTCTCCAGACATTATTAAGTAAATGGGAAGATGGACCCACAAGGTTTTCTTCTGGATATCCAATGAGCAGTTCACATTTTCAAGGAGCCCCTGGAGCATGACTCCCAAGTTCTTTAGGTCTTAGCCTTCCCACAGGCCATTATTTTGACAGGTCAGAGGGAGTAGGGCTCTTCTCTTCAAGCTCTCTGCCAAACTAATGAACACTGCAGCCTACATCATAGCTCTGAGGCCCCCTTCTGTTCCTGTTATGTTGCTTCTCTCCTTTTCCTTTTCCTTGGTTTACTGCAAAGCCATCTTGTCAGATCCTCACCACCTAGCTCCACTCCCCAGTAGGATCCTGCCCACCCCATCTCAGGCTGAGGGCCACTAACTCACTTCAGCTCCTCATGCCCCTAGGCAGGGGTCACTAGGGCTGCATGACAGCAGCAAATAACCTCTTCCCATTCCCACTGCTGCTCCCTAGTTCTTATCCTACCCATTGGCAGTTTTCATTTGAGTGGGTCTTCCTCTCTCCTTTTATCACAGGCCCACTGCAGCTGCTGCTCCCTTTGCAGTTCAAGGAGCCACAAAATAGCCTGCACTCCAGGCTGCGCTCCTGACTCTCCCAGGCTTCCACTCAGGCCTACTTGGCTTTTTCCCTCCTTCCTTACAGCTCTGGACCAGGCATGGAGCAAGCACTCAATTATGTTACTTAAAATGAAAACCAACAAAGGAAGATTCCTAAAGCAGCAGTTTTTTAAAAAATTATTATTACAATTTTGGTTTCTGTATTTCTGAGACCCTCCTTACAGAGAGAGGCCCTTGGGTCTTTCTCCACCCAGTACCCCTCTCCCTCTCATTACTTCTAGTGCGCACTGAGCTAGAGACTGCACACCCAACCAACCAGTGAGAGAATTCTTTCTCCCTTAATGGCCTGGGATATAATATTGTTTCTCAGGATCTGCATGGTGGAAAAGTGTCTACAGGAACTACAAAATGGGAAACCCCAAAGCCTTCACCTGTGTGTGGAGATCCTAATGAGGGGCAAATAGACACTGTAGCCAGGTATAATATCAGGAGATGCCTGCCCGGGCAATATTCCCCAGTGCAGAGCCCAAGTGGAATTGACAGACAACATCAGATAAACCCCAAGTCAAAGTACTATTGAAGGGAAGAGACCAAATCAGGCAATGTGATACACATCAGAAATCCCAGCTAATACAAAAGTGGAGGAAGGATTGCCAGTTCAAGGTCAGCCTGAGAAAAGTTAGAGAGAACTTACCTCAAAAACAAAAAAAGGCTGGGAGGGTAGCTGAAGTGGTAGAGTGCCCTCCCTAGCCCGAAGTCCTGGATTCAATCCCAAGTACCTCAAAGGTGAGGGGGTGGGAGTGTATTTCGCGTTTAAAGAGAATATTCTGACAGAGAGACTGACTCGAATATCCTGCACATGTGCATGGAAATGTCACAGTGAAATCCCCACTCGTGTACCTAATATAAGCAAAATGTAACTGAAGTTTAATAGGCCATCTGCTGACAATCACAAATGTGGATATCAGGTTTCAGTATCAATGTTTATTAAATTTGCTAAGCTTGATAACTACTATGATTAAGAAAATACTTTTAGGAAATATATAACAGGGTACTTAGGAGTGGAGTCATAAATTATGTAATTTATCCTCATAAGGTTCAACAAAACAAATCTATGTGGATATATGTCTATGTGTGCATTTACAGAAGGAACTGAGATACTGAGCAAGTGATAAGCAAAAAGGGTGAAGTATTAACAACAGGTGACTCAGGGTAAAGGGTATGTCAGTCTTTACAGTGTTAACTAGAATGAGATTCTCACCAGATGTGATGGCACAACTGAACTTGGGACACAGAAGCAGGAAGATCATGGTTGGAAGCTAGCCTAGGCAAAGTTTGTGTTAAGTCCTATCTTAAAAAATAAAGCTGAAAGAACTAGAGGTGTGGCTCAAGTGGCAAAGCACTGGCTCCACTGGCAATTCTGCTTGTATGAATAGAAACATGAGGTCCCACACAGATTCCCTTCTGTGCCCTCTGCCTTGACTCTAAGGTGGCTGTGACAAAGGTTTTGAAGTTCTACTTCCTGATCTGCAGGCCCCACGACTGGACAAAAAACAAAAAGCCTATCTGTTGTGTGTGTGTATGTGTTTTGTTTTTTGTTTTTGTTGGCCACAGGGCTTGAAATCTGGGCCTGGGCGCTGTCCCTAAGCTCTTCAGCTCAAGGTAAGGGCTCTACTACTTGAGCTCAAGTGTGGTTAATTGGAGATAAGAATCTCATGGACTTTCCTGCCTGGGCTGGCTTTGAATGGTGATCCTCAGATCTCTTCTGTTGTTTTTCAACTTTGTGTTAAAGTTTGTGGCAATTTTTGCTAGAGACATTCAGTTTTTATACAGTAAAATGAGTAATTCCTTGATTTATGGTTTCTGGGTTTTGTGACTTGCTTGGAAATTCTCACCCAACCCTATGGTTCTAGAACATTGTCTTTTCTCTTACTTTATATTTTTAAAATACTTTGTATTGTCTGTAACTAATTTTTCTGTATGGAATATGATATGGATCCAACTCTTTCCCCCACATGAATACCAACTGGCCCAACATTACTCAACTGTGATTAGCCAAGTCAACATGACACCTCTAGCATAGATTTCTGCAAATACATGATTTTTTTCAGGGATTCTTTATACTTTGTCAATTTTCTAATACTTTTCTAGTTGCCCTCTCGAATCTGCATGCAAACAGCTAACAATTTTATTGCAGCTGTTGAGACAGGGAGGGTCTCTAATCCAAGCTGGCCTCAAATTCCCAATCTTCTTGTCTCTGCCCTGTTAAAATTAACTATCCATACTATACTTTGAATAGAGCCACGGCCATCCTTCATTATCATTTTTGAAGTGGAAATGCCCTTTGAAGTGGAAATTCCCTTAGTATGTGTCATTTAATGCACGTGAATAAAGATACTTAGATCTTAGTTGGAAAAAAAAATACATGTAATATACCCAACCAACTGAACATCATAGTTAAGGGTCGCCTACCTTAAACATACTTAGAACACCTACTTTAGCTGACAGTTGTGGTAACACAAGCCCGTTTTTCTCTGTAGTCCTTCTGAAACATGTAAATACATTACCATGTTCTATCTGTGCAGAGACGTATGCATGTATTGCTAAGCACAAGGACCAAACGGGAAGAAACTAGAGCAGCTGTACATGAATGGTGCCAAAGATGAGTCATGCTGTGATGTGTTAAAAAGAATCCATAATGGATACTGGTGCAGTGGCATAGAGGCATGGCTCAAGTGGTCGAGTATAAGGCCCTGATTTGGACCAAACAAAACTAAAGAAGAATCCACTGAGGAGATCACAGATGAAATTATTAGTCTTTGTTGCTTCTCATTTGTTTTAAAGGGAGTGGATTTCAAATCAGTTCACTACATAAACTTCTAATCCCTTGCTCTCTAACACATGGTGAGCAGATTTGCCTAGTGATAGAAAGAAATTTGTGAAGAACTGATATGGTAGGCAAGGAACATGCAGGCACAAAAGAAAATGTACATGAGACACAGAAGACACTAAGTAGGCAAGAGGAAAACAGATATGGATGATAAGAAATGGCCTTCGGTGTTCAGGGAGAGCAAGAGGCAGCTAGACTCCAGGAACATTTGGGTGTTTCTATAGTACTTTACGTGTTAGACATGCTTGAGACTAATTTTCTTGCAGGTATAAAAGTTCAAATATGATTAGTCACTGTTTCCTTCAACACAGAACGGCACAACTGTGGAAAATTTGGGATAGGGTAATGGAGCCTCTGTGGGAAAACACAACACTCCATAGGAGCAATAATAAAAAACAACATTTAGGAGAAAGCAGGTGACCCTCAGCTTACCTGCCAAGGTGTTCAGAGCTCGAACTGACCAGATACATTAGATTCCTGAGAGTATGCAGTGGTTGTAATTGATCTAAGTTGACATGCTAGAAAAAGCAAGATTTGATGAATACTTTCAAATATGTAACAAGTTAAAAGCTAGTTTACATCACATTTTTCCATACCTGAGAAAAACAAAGGTAAAGGATATTTGTATTCAATTTCTTCACTGCTCGAGTAAATTTCTGTTTGCTGAGATTTTCTCCACAAAATTCACTGTAAAACACATGGTTTGTAAAGTTTTACTTATTTTCTTTTCAGAAATTCTATGTTAAAATGTTCATCTTTTTTAATAGGGCAATATCTGAGACAGCCTTGCTATGTTGTAGCACATAGCTAGTCTTGAACTCAAAATAATCTTGCCTTCGCCTCCCAATTGCTAGGATTACAGACATGCTTGCTACCAGCTTTAGGCTCTGAGGCAGAATTCTACCAGCACACTGCTGAAATGTTGAATTTAAAATTACAACTATTTGTAACTCCTGACTAATCCTACCTGTAGAGTTTATTCTAGGGGAGGGGAAGGGAAATAACAAAATGCTGAAATAAGGATACAGATTGACCAATGCATTGTAACAATGAAATGTACAAGACACTATATTGGAAACAAACTTTACAACTTGGGGAGGTAGGAGGGAGAAGTTGGGGAGGTGGGGCGGGAAGGGATGGTAGGGGAAAAACAGAGGAGGTAACAATTCTTGATAGGAAATGTACTCACTACATTACTCATATAACTGTAACTCCTCTGTATAGTATTTTTACAATAAAAAACAAAAATTTATTCTACAGACATCTTTGCACAATAAAGAACTGATGAAGGTGTAAAATCAGTCCTTGAAGCATTAACAAGGGGTGGGTAAGATTATTTCAACCCAGTGATATATAAAGAGGGAAAAGTTTACATTTGTTTGAAATGCAAAGATAGCTGGATTGGCGGAGGAACTATGTGTATGTATCTCTTTTTTTTTCAACTTTAAATATCAAGGTTTTTATTTTTTTAAAAAACTTATAATTCATTCAGTTCTTATACACTAGAATCTGTTATACTCTATATGAATATCCATATTTTTTTCCCCTCTCCTCCAGCATGAATTCTCTTGGTCTCAAGTTTTACATGCAACTGTAAGATAATGAAATGAATCAAAATTCATATATTGAAATTAATCTTTTTGTTACACCTCTTTGGGCTTGATAATATTAAAATTCTTGATTCTCATGAACTGAAATCAAGGAGAATGCAACACTGTGCTTGGTGAAGATGTCACTTTACACTCCATGACTTGCCTGTTGCACAGCTTTCTGGGAAGGTTGACATCAAGTATGTGGGACAGAATGTTGGCGAGCTGAGTGGCATAGCACAGGGCAGCACTGATTGTGTAGGCTGGGTTACTGTTCTCCATGTCTGAAAAGGAAGACAACCGTCATGCTCAAAGTGCCCCTGCCTTCAACAAGAATAAGGGAGTCAAGATTTGTTTCATTTCTATTTTCATCATTTCATTACTGATAGTAAAATTTACTCCTTTCTCTTTGGCCAGACATAATTGGTCCACTGTTTTTACTGAGCAGAATGTATCATAAATGAATCTAAACAGGTGAAGCAGGCTTAAACAGACCAAATATGAACCAACTGGACATGATAATGCCCAACTTAAGTCAGCCGTGGTGACAAACACCAGTTATAGAAGCACTTGGGAGGTGAAGGCAGGATGATCTCAAATTCAAGGACAGACTAGGCATCATAGCAACATCCTCCCCAAAAACCAAAGGCGGGGAGTTATAGGCTCTACAGCAGGGAGCTTATTACATGGCAAAGCCTGGAGTCTACCACCAGTACCACAAAGAAAAATACACATATGTAAGTAAATGCTCTCAGAGACCCTTGCTGACAGATAGTTGTCCGGAAGAGAGGATTTATAGATGGCTGCCTGGCACTGACAGGCATGCTCCCCTAGTTTCAGCTTGGATTGATGGAGTGGTTTTTCACAACTGTGCAGAAGTGAAGGTGTGCTAAATGCCACTGAACTGTTCAGTTATACACACACACACACACACACACACACACACACACACACACACACACACACACACACACACACACACACACACACACACACACACACACACAAGTTCTCTAAGAATATTTTGCTCTCACCAGGCCCCTGGGTCGTTTTCTTCTCTTCCACCCAATTGTAGTAGGCAGAGTAGTCTCCATTGTTAGGGAGGCTAATCCAAGGCCCTGTAATGCTAATGCTGGTGTCGCCATTGTGATCATCACAGACCCATCGACCAGAAAGGTAAGTGGTCCTCCGGGCTTCAGCAAGCTTGCTCACAGTGCTGGAGGTCATGGCGCTGTCATTCTCTGAAGATACATCCGCAGGATCTCTAACCATCAAGAGATACACAGAGAGGATTTGCAAGGGGCAACAACACTTTTGCCAGACAGGTGAGAACACTGAAAAGTTGCCCATGGACAAAAGAACTGATTGGAATATGTGGACATGTGGGTACTATCACAATGATTATCAAACCTGTTGTGGCACAGAAGCTCATTCAGCATGGAGAAAGTGGCACCCAGAGCCAGATTCTCAGGATACATGGCTTTGGACACCTGGTTTACACGGTTAAAAATTCATATCCTCAGTCACACCTGTAATTCTAGGTTCTCAGGCGGCTGAGATCTAAGGCAAATCAAAGCTAGACTAGGCAGGAAAGTCTGTGAAACTTTTTTTTTCATACCAGTCCTAGGACTTGAACTTAGGACCTGGATACTGTCCCTAAGCTTCTCTGGCTCAAGACTAGTGCTCTCCCACTTAAGCCATAGCAGCAACACTTCCAGCCTTTTCTGAGTAGTTTATTGCAGATAAGTTTCAGGCCTTTTTTTCTCAGGCTGGCTTTTAGCCATGATCCTCAGATCTCAGCCACCTGAGTAGCTAGGATTACAGGTGTGAGCCACTAGTGTCCAGCTTGAGACCCTTATCTTCAATTACACTCTCTCTCTCCCTCTCCCTCTCTCCCTCTCTCCCCCCTCCCCCCCCCTCTCTGCTGGAAGTGGGAGCTGTAGCTCAACTGGTAGAACTTCAGCCTTAAGCAAAAAAGAAAAAGGACAACCCCAGGCCCTGAGTTTAAGCCCCTGGTACCAGCACCCAAAACAAAATGAATGCTGTTGATAATTTTAAATGATTAGAAATTTAAACTGCCAATCAGACAGACCTATGCCAGTTAATATCATCTACATACCTTAGAGGAGGGCTGCTCTCAAAGTTTCCAGGGATAAGCTAAGCAATAAATACCAATTTCTATTCTTTAAAAATATTTTGTGAGAAATAAGCCATCACGTTACTATAACATTTTTTAATTTTTTACAGTACTTGTGAACTTTCCCCCCAGGCTCACCTTAAACTCTAACCCCCTCAGGTGTGAGCCACTGTACTTAAGCAGAGCAAATTCTTTTTTTCTTTTTTTTTGGTCAGGTGTGGGGCTTGAACTGAGAGCGTGGGCTGTCCCTGAGCTCTTTTGCTCAAGGATACAGCTCTACCACTATGAGCCTTAGCTCCACTTCTGGTTTTTGAGTGGTTAACTGGAGATAAGAGTCTCACAGGGACTTTTCTGCCTGGGCTGGCTTTGAACTGCAATCCTCAGATCTCAGTCTCCTGAGCAGTTAGGATTATAGGGGTGAGCCACTGGCACCTGGCTTAGCATGGCACATTTCTATGAAAAAAAAACCTTTTAAATTTCAAAACTGTAAAAATTAACACTGTTTTACATTTTCAAGAATCTATTTAATATCTAAGTCTTTTGGTTGTTCTTCCAATTGAAAACTGCCCCCAAAATCAAGCAGCTGGTTTTTAGCTTGCAGCTCATTTTCACGAGTGCTTCTTTGAGCCAACTCCCAGTGTGCAGCAAGAGGGCTTTATGCACACTTCCTGGCAGCAAGACATGTATTCAAGATTTGATCAGCCGCTTTTACTTTGTACTGAGGACACTGAATCAAAGTCAGTTAAAGGAAAAACCTGCCAGTCACAGTGGACTATAATAACTACTACTCTGCTTTGGTGTCCCTGCCTGCTTTGTGTCAAACACCAGAGGGTTTACTACCCTAGCTTCTGAGCCTCTAGTACTAGTGTCCACGAAGTGAAATAGAAACTTCTAAACAACTTCAATGTGGTAGAGCATGCCCACAATCCCAGCACTCAAGAGTGCGGCAGAAGGGATGTAGGTTTGAGGCCAGCTACACAGTGAGACTTTAATGAACAAACAACACAAAATAACTAGATTACAGGATAGGACAAAAATCCCTCATGAGCAGCCATGGAAGGTACCAATGCTGAGGGGACAGAACAGTGGACAGATACATTGTTTGTGTTTGTGTGTAAGACAGAAAGTGCTGGAAAAGCGGTGGGAAGTAGGCAGCCAGAGAGGGATTTCTGAGTTTGCACTCTGCCCTGCCAGTGGTTCACATCACAACCTACTGGGTGACACATACAGGTCTGCGAGTTGAGGTACCATGCTAATTCCAAGCTCAATCTCTCCCCACCCTGGGGGAGAGAACTAGGGCTTGAACTGAGGGCCTGAGTGCTGTCCTTGAGCCTCTTTGTACCCAAGGCTAGTACTCACTCTACCACTTTTGAGCTACAGCACCACTTCCGGCATTTTCTGAGTAGTTTACTAGAGATAAAAGAGTCTCAAAGACTTTCCTGCTCAAGCTGGCTTTGAACTGCAATCCTCAGATCTCAGCCTCCTGAGTAGGATTACAGGTATAAGTCACTGGCAACTAGAAGGTCAACTTTTATCTCTCTCACATGCAAAAGAACAAGAAATCTTATTATAGGGATAATGTAACTATAACGAACAGCAAGGTGAGGACACCCAGTCTTGTCTATCCAGATTCCCAAGGATTCTTAAGACTAAAATCACAGTACTCTGTCTCAAAAGCAGCTAATATGATAAATGTCATTATTGGGAAGAGGCTAAGACAACACCTGCTGCCCCCCATCTAAGAGACTCTAAATACTAGATGTTTTCTTATATATTAGCTCATGATCATTCTGTGTGGTAGGCATTTTTCCATCTCCACTTAACAGACAAGTAATAAGATTTGTAAGTTCAAGGGCTGGGAAGGTGACTCAGTGGTAGAGCGCTTGCCTTGCATGCATGAGGCCCTGGGTTCGATTCCTCAGCACCACATAAACAAAAAGAAAAAAGCCGGAAGTGGTGCTGTGGCTCAAGTGGTAGAGCGCGAGCCTTGAGCTGAAGAGCTGAGGGGCAGCGCGCAGGCCCAGAGTTCAGACCCCATGACCGGGCCCCCCCCCCAAAAAAAAAAAAAAAAAAAGATTTGTAAGTTCAAGACTGTGTCTCACAGAAGACAACTAATTAGTAACCTAGCTGGATACTGTGACATGACCCAGCAAATAGTGTCAATCAGTGAGTCACCCAGAAGCTCTATGACAGACTTGTCCACAGGACAGGGGGCCCCACCCCTAATCCTGGCTGCCAACCCAACTTTACGCAGAGTGTACTGTTTGCTGAAGCAGATAAGACTTAAGTTTCATTACCAGGAAAACCAATGACCCTAGAATGAGGCCAATAAATGAAGTGCTGACGCACTTGAGAAACAGCACTTGGAACTTGACCCATTCTTAAAGTGGGAAGCCTTGCTTACTGTACCTCACACCAGTCTTTACTTCATCGATTGGAAAAATGACAGAAGTGAGCTCCAATATATGGGATCGCCGAAGTTTTGCCAGATGCTCATAATTACTTCTTAAGTCAATGGACTTTTTTTCTACCAGGTCACTAAGTCTGCGATTGTGCCTTTGAATCTTCTCCTTTTTCTCTTGGTGCCTTTGTGCTCGACTGTAAAGCTTCTGATTCTTTTCCTTGTTTTTGAGAAGGCCTTCAGAATCTAAGATAAACAAATCATAACCAACAATTAACTGCACACAGCTTGTGTGTACTGTAGATGCCCACAAGAACTGAGTGCTCCCCCCAGCACTGACACTGAAAGCAAACAACTCAGTAAGGGTCCGTCTTCCAGTTCTAACACCAGCTTACTTTCCAAAAAGCTCATTAATTTTCACAATCCCTGAGTTCTTTGTAGTAGCTCACATGGATTTGTCCAAGCCATGATCAAGTTAGATTTTTCTTTTAAGGACAGTTTCTAAATTGATACCATAATTACTCTTAAGGTCGCTGAACATCATCTCAGTCACCCCATCAGCAACGAGAGCTGACTAGGAACTCAGAAACATCTTTTTCTCTCTCCCATCTCCTCATAAATGAAAAATGCTCTTGCTGTAGTCTACTTTTGCTTCTTGGAATAAGCAAAGAGGCTGCAGCACAGATCACTCTACAACTACGTACAACTTTTCACTGTCTATGCCTTTTCAATCTTTAGTTTTTATTATTATAAAGGTGATGTACAGTTACATAACTAATGAGTACATTTCTTTTTGCACGATGTTACTCCTTCCCTCTCTCCCAGTTTTTCCCTTCTATCCTCACTCACTAGTTGTATAGTTCATTTTCAACATTGTGTCTAGTGAGTACATTGATGTATCTGTTCATCCTTTGTCCCTCCATTTTGCTGCTATAAAACCTTAAATGATGGGGCTGGGAAGGTGGCTCAGTGGTAGAGCGCTTGCCTTGCATGCCTGAGGCCCTGGGTTCAATTCCTCAGTACCACATAAGCAAAAAGAAAAAAGCTGGAAGTGGCTCTGTGGCTCAAGTGGTAGAGCGCTAGCCTTGAGCTGAAGAGCTGAGGGACAGCACCCAGACCCAGAGTTCAGGCCCGACGACCGGACCCAAAAAAAAAAAAAACCTTAAATGAGAAGATTCTGGAGAAAAAACTCATCAGGCTCTACCATTTATAATTTGTGCCCTTTTTCTGAACATGTATTTCAGTAACATAGTTAAAAAATACTACTGGGTAGCAAACTTATTATGCATGCGCTTTAAACTTTAGAACTGTTTCCAATACTATGAGGTGGGAATGAGATTGTATTTGCCTTCTAAAAAACAGGGATGGCAGGTGGGCCATCCAGAGCAGTGCTGCTATAGTGGGGCTTGTCAATCTGCAAACTGTTACCTGTCAAGACCAGAGTAGTACAAACCAGAGTAAGCCAAAACTTTTTCTTCAACATGGCAAAAGCACATTACCATGATACTCAAAGATTATAGGATTTTCTGTCTAGATTTTATCAGTATTGGTAACTCCCATCATTTGCTAGGGGTAGAAACTACTGTTACCGGGTCAACCTCTTTTTTTTTGGTCAGACACGAGGCTTGAACTCGTTGTCCCTATGCTCTTTTGTTCAAGTCTACCACTTTGAGCAACAGCTCCACTTCCCTTTTTTCTGGTGGTTAACTGGAGATAAAGAGTCTTACAGATGTACCTGCCTGAGCTGGATTTGAACTGTGATCCTCAGATCTCAGCTGCTGAGTAGCTAGAATTATAGACATGAGCCACCAGTGCCCAGTTAGGGTCTACCACTTTAAGACCTCTCTCTCTCTCTCTCCCCCTCCCTCCCTCCCTCATCTTTTGGATCTTTATTATTATTTTTTTTTTTTTACTTTCTGTGGGTGCTTTTGTTTTGGGGTTTAGGACCTGTTCAAAATTGCAGATCAAAGCTTTAAATGCGCTTGACAGAGAATGTGCATGCTCAGCACATTCTGCAAGTTCAGAGGGTTCACAAATGCCAGTGGCACACCCTCACTGAACACCATGGGAATGTGTGGAAGGAGGGTGAACCAATGTTAAGTAAAACCCTTTGCTGCTGCTGAAGCCAAGTCTTCAGGAGAACACAGGCAAAACTCCATGGCTCCTGGAGGCCTGCAGTTCTGAGCACCTGCAGGCCTACTTCTCCAACTTGCTCATCCTGTGCAACTCCATACAAACACCTCATTAGGACGATTTCAAAGGAAGCTCTTACACCATTACATACCACTATTAAATACTTGCTTCTAAAGGCAACCAGGGGACAAGAAAGGCATCGCAAGGCATGACAATGACTCACTATAAACCTCAACTATGGTCTTTAGAAATACATGTTTCTAAGATGTCTAATTTCAATTTTTTACAACTGCCTATGATAAGTATAAAGTATTTAAAGATAATAGAAAATGTATATAGATTAAAACAGGTAGGTGATTCACTAAAAAGAAGGTCAGTATTCTGTGCTTTTGGCAAAAATTAATAATTATTACAAGTGACTCCCAATTGAGAATGTGCTTCCTGTTAGCTAAGACAAATGGGAGCAAATATTCCTCACTTTCTTTTCCATGGTGTCAAGATCAAACCAAGGGCTTCATACATGCAAAACACACGTTCTAAGCTAAGCTATATCCTCAGCCATTTCTAACGTTAAAACTGGTGGCTCACGCCTGTAATCCTAACTACTCAGGAGTCTGAGATCTGAGGATTACGGTTCAAAGCCAGCCCGGGCAGGGAAGTCCCTGAGACTCTTATCTCCAATAAACCACTAGAAAACCAGAAATAGCGCTGTGGCTCAAGTGGTAGAGCACTCACCTGGAGCTGAAGAGTGCAGGGACAGTGCCCAAGCCCAGAGTTCAAGCTCCACGATCGACCAAAAAAAACAAAAAACAAAAACAAAACAAAACTGAGGGCTCAGAATGTGGCTTAGTGGTAAAGTGCTTGCCTTAGCATGCATGAAACCCTGGGTTTGATTCCTCAGTACCACATAGACAAAAAGCTGGAAGTGGTGGTGTGGCTCAAGTGGTAAAGTGCCAGCCTTGAGCACCAAGGAGCTCAGGGACAATGCCCAGTCCCTGAATTCAAGCCCCCGGACTAGCAACAAAAAAAAAAGAGAGAGAGAGAGAGAAAGGAAACAAGTTATTGAAGGCTGCTATAAATGTATTTATTTAAATCCATTACATAACTATTTTTACAAGGACAAAGAAAGCCAATACAGGTTGAACATCCCTGATAAGAAAATCTGAATCCTGAAATGCTCCCAAATCCAGAATTTCTGGAGTGTCAACATGCTATCAAAAGTAGAAAATTCCACACCTAACCTCAAATGTAACATGCTAAAAATACATTATATAATTGCTTCCAGGCTATATGTATAAAGTTGTTTTTGAAAAACAAGTGAGTTGGACTGGGAAGGTGGCTCAGTGGTAGAGTGCTTGTCTTGCATGCATGAGGCCCTGGGTTCCATTCCTCAACACCACATAAGCAGAAAAAGACGGAAGTGGCTCAGTGGTAAAGCACTAGCCTTGAGCTGAAGAGTTGAGGGACAGTGCCCAGGCCCAGAGTTCAGGCCCCACAACCGACAAAAAAAAAAAAAAAAATGAAAAAAGTGAGTCGGCATTTCATCTACATGCAAATATTCTAAAATGTTTTTAAAAATCCAAAATCTAAAAGACTACTAGTTACAAGTATTTAATATTTTCAACCTGAAGTAAACTCCAAATCACTGTAGCTCCAACTTCATCTGGTTTTCACTGCTTTATTTTATTAATCCCATGAGCTGGGCACTGGTGGCTCATGCCTGTAATCCTAGCCACTTAGAAGGCTGAAGTCTGAGCATCCTAGTTTGAAGCCAGCCCAGGCAGGAAAGGCTGTGAGACTCTTATCTCCAATTAGCCACCAAAAAGCCAGAACTAGACCTGTAGCTCAAGGGGTAGAGAGTCAGATTTTAGTAAAAAAAGTCAGGGACTAGGCCCAGTCCCTGAGTTCAAACTTCAGTGTACACACACACACATATACTCTCTCTCTCTCTCTCTCTCTCTCTCTCTCTCTCTCTCTCTCTCTCTCTCTCTCTCTCTCTCGGAGTTCCCAGGAGTTTTTTGTCAGGGTTGGCAGGAAGGGGGCAAGTTACTTACTCTTCTTCATTTCTTCATTTCCTTTACATATTGTTTGCTTCAGCTGTTCAATCCTCATCTTGCAAGACATTATTTTCCATCTCTGAAAAATGTAAGCCATAAATGTCATAGATATTGGTGTCATGATCAAGTAGTAATATCTACTCCAGATCACTGTTCATTTTCAGAAAAAAAAAGGAAGAAAAGATTTGATAATTATGTTTGTTATAGGTGGTAGACTCCAAAAAGAAAACTTTTTTTTCTAGCTCAATGGAGTAGGTTGCTAGGAAATTAAGGGAGGAAAAAAAACCTTTCATAGCTCTTTTCCATGAGTTAATTAAGCACAGAGAAAAATGTTGAAGGACAGTCTCTAAATTTGCTCGGTCCAATACTAGACATACAAGGTTATTTAAAACTTGACTAAATGGACACAAAATTAGTTCCTTATACTACACCTGAATGTCAAATGGTCAACACCATCCATGGCTAGTTTGGCAATGTAGATACAGAACATTGGGATCATCACCAAGTCTTTTTTTTTTTTTTTTTTGTCCAGTCGTGGGGCCTGAAATCTGGGCCTGGGCGCTGTCCCTCAGCTCTTCAGCTCAAGGCTAGCGCTCTACCACTTGAACCACAGCGCCACTTCCGGCTTTTTTCTTTTTGCTTATGTGGTGCTGAGGAATCGAACCCAGGGCCTCAGGCATGCAAGGCAAGCGCTCTACCACTGAGCCACCTTCCCAGCCCCCATCACCAACTCTTATAGTTATGCTATTCTACATTCTTAATGCTCAACATCACTACAGTATCTCACTTCATAGAGTAAACACTAACTGCACAGTAATAAAATTTCCTACTCAAGCTGGTGGGTTTGTTTTGAACCAGTAGTGGGGCTTCAGCTCAGGGCCTTGTGTTCTTGCTTGATTTTTTCTGCTCAAGGCTAGTGGCTCTATCACTTGAGCCACATCTCCACTTTCGGCTTTTTGATGGTTAACTAGAGAAAGAGTCTCACAGATTTGTCTGCCCCAAATTGACTTAGATTTCATTTTCCAGAGTACCTCGGATTACAGATATGAGCTACCAGTATCCAGCCAAAAGTATTTTTTGCTTTTGTTTTTTGGTACATAATCAAATAATTATTTTCTGAAACACCTTGAGAAATTATATGAATCATAAAATTGTTTTTGCCTATTACCAGGGAATGGTAAAACCAGGTACCAGCTGGAATGGTAAAATCAGCTACCCCTAAAATGACTAAAGGATGGACAGGAATGAATTAAAACATGGTTATTCCTTAATCCTCTGTAACTGTAGATAAGGATTGGTAGGGAAGCGACTTCTCCTAGAACCACATCAATTTAAGGACAGACCTAGAGGGTGTGATGGGTTTAGAAAAAAAAAAAAAAAAGAAAATTAAATACCCTTAAAGGTGTTTAAGCATCAACATTCAAATTTTTTGATAAATAGACAACATTACAGGGATTTCAAAAAAAATTAATAGAACACATTTTTCTCATAATATCTACAGCATAAGCAAAATTTATTTTCATTACAAATATGGGTAACAAAAAAGTATACATTCTTGCGGTTGAGAAAAAAAAGTAGAAAATATGACTGTTTGCCTGACTCCTGTATATTCAGGAGGGGTAATGGCTCTGTGTACATGCCATGTGCGAGATAGAACACAGGTCCTAGTTAGTGAATGCTAACAAGCACTTTTCTACCATGCTACAATCCCTGCAGCCCCCAGATCAGCCTCCAAGAGTAATCTCTTAAAACTGAAGTTTGATGTGTATGGTTTTAGATTTTTAGAGTATAAATGCCTAAGTAGAATCTAAATTTACCTTAGCCCATTTGTTTTATTTTTCTGTTAAAAATTATTATAGACATTCTTTCCTTTTAGACCATGTATTTTAAAACTCATCAAAAGAAATTTTAATTGACATAGTATTTGTGCATATTTGTGGGCTTTCATGTAAGATTTCAACACCCTTTTTTTGGTTATGGGGCTTGAACTCTGGACCTGGGCGCTATCCCTCAGCTCTTCAGCTCAAGGTGAGCACTCTACCCCTTGAGCCAAAGTGCCACTTCCGGTTTTCTGATGGTTTATTGGAGATAAGAGTCTCATGGACTTTCCTTGCCGAGGCTTTGAATTGTGATCCCCAGATCTCAGCCTCCTGAGCAGCTAGAATTACAGGTGTGAGCCACTAGCTCCTGGCTTCAACACATTCTTTTTAACAGCTAGGCAGCACTATGGGTTTTTATCTCCTCCTGATTGATGGCCATATCACATACTATGTGAATTATAATACATGCATAGGATATATATAATATTTACATATTATGTAAATGGCTATGTATGCTTACAGATTCATTTCACCACCAGGACTGCAGGTAAGTCAGCTTCTCTCACCATAAAGTTCCGCATTCATAGGCATTTCTTCAGGAGGAAAATTGTTGGACAAACTGTATGTGCCTTTACCATGTTTTTCTTTGTTGTTGTTGCTTATTTTGGGTTTTTTTGGCACTGTTTTCTTCGTGTGTGTGTGTGTGTGTGTGTGTGTGTGTGTACACTGGTCCTTGGGCTTGAATTCAAGGCCTGAGAGTGGATATAAAGAGTCTCATTAACTTATTAACTTTCCTTCCTGGGATGGCTTATTTTGGGTTTTTTTGGCACTGTTTTCTTCGTGTGTGTGTGTGTGTGTGTGTGTGTGTGTGTGTGTGTGTGTGTGTGTGTGTGTGTGTGTGTGTGTGTGTGTGTGTGTGTGTGTGTGTGTGTGTGTGTGTGTGTGTGTGTGTGTGTGTGTGTGTGTGTGTGTGTACACTGGTCCTTGGGCCTGAATTCAAGGCCTGAGAGCAGATATAAAGAGTCTTATTAACTTTCCTTCCTGGGATGGCTTTGAACTGGGATCCTCAGATCTCAGCCTGCTAGTAGGGGTAAGCCATCAGTGCCTGCTGATTATGGGTTTTTAACTGAGGCCCTGTGTAGCTAGATAAGTGCTCAACCACTTACACCTGGAACAAGCCTTATATGAGCTCTATAAAAACAGCCACCACCAAACTGTCCCTAAATAGAATGAATTGATGGATAATCCCATCAACAAGGAATATAAGTGTTAAGTGCTGCCAAGCTCTTTTGTTTTCATCTTTATATTTATTTTTTCAGTTTAACTGTAAATTTTTAGCATCTTTAATATAAAAACAAACTTTTATGTCATCTTTCGAAATGCTCTAGAATATTCTTTCTTTCAATATTTTATGCATTTAGATTCAACTATTAAGCCATATGGAGTATTTTTTTAATAAATAATTATTGCCAAAAAAGTCATTCCTTTGTATTCCTATGCCAATACCAGACTTCCTAATTATCTTTTATGATGGCTCCATAGTTTAATTGCCTATACCCTGGTTTTGGTACTTCAGTGAAATATTTGAGAAGGCCACAACTCAAAATGATTTTTCACATTCTCCCAACATAAAATCCTGTAGCTTCAAGCATTAAAGAACATTAACATAAATAATCCTTTGAACTCACCAATTGATCTGTTATCCATTTTCCTTCCACAGCCTTTAATACTCTGTATGGGAAAGAGATATAGAAAATAACCAAGAGTAGGAAATCAGTTTCTAAATTTTATTTTTTGTTTTATTTTTGAGAGTAAGGCGGGCTATCTTGTGCATAGACTCTTCGTGGATTCCTGGGCTCAATTGATCCTTCCAGCCCTACCTCTTACGGCTAGACTACAGCTATCAAAACAAACCCCTCTTGCGCAATTAATTGATATTTTTTCAATGTTAAAAAAAAAGAAGACCAAGCTGGGTGCTGGTGGCTCATGCCTGTAATCCTAGCTACTCAGGAGGCCGAGGTCTGGGGATCACAGTTCAGAGCCAGCCTGGGCAAGTAAGTCCATGAAACTCTTCTTTTTTTTTTTCCCAGCAGGTGGAAAACTCATTTATTAACAGAGAACAGCCCTTTTTAAAGCCAAAAAGGGCGGATTTTAAAGCCAAAAAGGGCGGGTCCATGAAACTCTTATCTCAAATAAACCACCAGCAAACCAGAAGTGGCGCTGTAGCTCCAGGGGTATAGTGCTAGCCTTGAGCTGAAGAGCTCAGGGACAGCGCTCAGGCCCCAGAGTTCAAGTCCCACAACCGACAAAAAAAAAAAGACCACGTTAAACTTAATAACTTACTAATCCACATATCTATATAACCTAACAGCAGATTAGCCCACATGGTGACAGACAAGTTCCCCAAATTAAAAAGCAAACTAAAAAAACTCACTCTTTCTGAAATTCTTCTTGCTTGCTTTTAAGTTGGCTTAACCGTTCTTTCTTGTCAATAAACCTAGAAGAAAAAAAAATACTGGTTATTTAAATATTTTCTCGAACCCAGTGAGACCATTTAAATTCCCAAGAGCTCATCATTTCTGCACTCTGAAAATGTCTCTCAAAGTAAACATACACCTCCTCCAAAGGGAATTCACTCGGGGAATTCAGTTATTTTAAGACTACAAATCTTCAACCTTCCTTTCTTTCTATAGATTTTTCCCTGGCACCCATCACCCAGATTACTTTGTAAAACATGCACCTCAGAATACTAACATGAATTTGAATACAAGAACATCGAGGATTCCAATATAAATAACTTCAATTGCTGAGCTTAATTGAATCCTGCCCTCTCGTATAAATCAAGTCATAATTTTTAGGGTGTCATTTTTTTTTCACTAATTTGTCATGGGTTACTGAAAGGTGATAAATTACTTTAAAGTTATCAGAAGAAAGAGGTACCACAGTGCTGATAATTTTTTTTTAATTGGTTGTGGGGCTTGAACTCAGGGGCTAGATGCTGTCCCTCAGCTCTTCAGCTCAAGGCTACCACTCTACCACTTGAGCCACAGCACCACTTCCCGTTTTCTGGTGGTTTATTGGAGATAAGAGTCTCATGGACTTTCCTGACCAGGCTGGCTTTGAACCTCAGCCTCCTGAGTAGCTAGGATTACAGGCGTGAGCCATGGGTGCCCAGCTAGTGCTGATAATTTTCTTGTTGTTTGTTAAACTTCTACACCCCCCCCCATTGTCTTCCTGATATTTTTAGTTTAGTTTGCTTGCTTTCTTCTTTCCTCTTCCCCTCCCCACTGGAATAACATGATTCTCACTATATGGCCCAGGCAAGTCCTAAACACAGGACCCTTGTGCCTCAGCCTCTTAGGTCCTGGGATTACAGGTGTGAATCACCATGCCTGGCTCAATCCTATTTTATTTATTTGTTTGGTTGTTTATATATTTATTTTTGCCAGTCCTAGGGCTTGAACTCAGGGCCTGGGCACTGTTCTTAAGCTTCTTTTGCTCTAGCACTTTACCACTTGAGCCACACAGTGCCACTTCTGGCTTTTTCTGTTTACAAAGTATTGAGGAATCGAACCTAGGGCTTCATGGCATGCTACGCAGGCACTCTACCACTAAGCCACATTCCAAGCCCCTCACTCCTCTTTTTAAGGTTGATTTTAACTGGCACATAAAAAATATAAAAATTATACTCTCTCACACACATGGTTAACACATGTATAGCATAAAAATCAGTTAAGCATATCTTTACATTTACCATTTTTATGGTGAAAACATCCAAACTCCTATCTTTGTGGACCACACTTTTCATAACTGCCACCTATAATTATTCTCTATACAGTACCATAACAGAACTTCTAAACTGTACCTTAGTATCTTCCCTCTTTATTCTCCCAACCTCTGGTATCCACTATTCTAAATTACTTCTACTAGACCACTGTGTTTTTGTGTGTGCCAGTACTAAGGCTCTCAAGGCCTGGACATTATCCCTTAACTTTTTTGTTCAAGTCTAGCTCTCTACCACTTGAGCCTCAGCTCTACTTCTGGCTTCTTAGTTAATTAGACCTAAATTCCACAGACTTTCCTTCCCAGACTGGCTTAAAACCACAGTCCTCAGATCTTAGCTTCCTGAGAAGCTAGGATTATAGGTGTGAACCACCATTTTTTTTTAAGACCCTGCAAGTACATGGTAAATCTTTCTTTGTCTGGCCCATTTCCCTTGACATAATGATCTGCAGTTCTACCTACATTGCAAATGTTCCTCTTTTGTAATATAAGCCAATAAATCCATTTATCTCCCTCTAAGCATTGTTTCACTTGCAGATTAAAAATTTTGATACAGGTATTTTCATTATCATTCAGTTTGAAGCTAGTAAGTGTCCATGAGATTTCTTCTTTGTTGCATAAAATTTGAAGTATAATTGTTTAGTTTCCACACTATATGGAAATTTATAGATAATGTGTTACTCTCTTCGACTTTAATTCTGATGTAGTCATATAATACTCTGAGATTTCAGTGTTTTGATTTGAGACTGTTTCAAGACCTTGGTTTTGGTCTGTCTCTGAAAATTCCATTAGCACTTGAAAGAATGTGCATTATACATCTACTGAGTGCAATGGTATCACAGCTTCTAGACCTGTGCTGTTCCACCAGCCACACATGACTACTGAGCATCTGAAATACGGCCTGTTGCATTACCAGGGTTTGGGGAATGAGGGAGTATGACTAATATCATGAACTGATTATGAACTGAGCAAACAGTGGCTCACTATTTTCAAGGGGAGGATAATGCCACAGGGCACAAGAACATGGTATGGTGTCCAAGATTACACTTTTGATGTCCTCTAAATTCCTAGCATAGAATAATATGTTAAGAAAACAAATAGAGACACACAGCTGCAAAAATAATATTGCCAAAGAAGTCTCTCTTAAGACACTGTTTCTACAATCTTAGTGTTTGAAACACATCAAGAGACCGATTTGTAAATGGAGGGATAACATGACCTGATAATGATCTTCACTGAGAATGTACAGTAATATTAAACAAAAAGGCAAATCACTTCATGTATCACAAGGTAGTATTAAAAATCAGTAGAGAAATAAAAAGCAAGCCAAACAGTATTATGTGACATAATTACGAAGTTATAAAATGACACCACTCACATTTAAACTTGCAACTCACCTCCTTACATGCACTAACCACATTTCAAGAGCATACTTACCTAATTGGAGTAGCATGGCCACAGAATATGTCTACCATTGTAGAAAGTCCTACTGAATAACACTACAGTGTCCAGTAAGGTGGCAACTACATGAAACAGGACTGGAAAACCCAGAAACCAATCCAGAATGAGACAGGCACAGGGATTCATTAATTATCAGGCACTTGCCTTGTGCCTAAAATGCAAGCATGATCCAGGATACCGAACTAGACATTCTTCTGCAGTGGTGCATTCTTGGACATATCGCTTGTTATATGCTTCAATTTCCTTGTATTAGAAATGACGTAAGTGTGGTATTTACTTCAGCCCCGGCAACATGGTGATTCTGATAAGCTAAAGGAAATGACAAACCCACAAGACTCTCAGACCAGGCAGAAGACTGGGGTGGGAGCAAAAATCTTCAATGCTCTCCTTTCAGATCTGAAATAAAAATGTGACTTTGCACTAAGACAAACTGAAATGAGCGCCAACTCTGTCCAGCTGATTCTACTGTGCCAGCTGATTCTCATGGGCTTTGTTAGCAAAAACAATAGAAACACACAAACAAAAAGCCCTTAAGAACAAATACATGGATGACAGCGGGAATAATAAGCCAAAGATAACAGTTCTTAGTGGATCTTGTTAGCCTTCATGAAAGAAATTAAAAACAGGTAGTACTAACAAAGTTGAACAGCAGAGGATACTCAGGAATCTGGGTAGGTCAGAATGTTACTTGCTCACTCCAGACACTCATCCATTCTCCACATTCCCCATCCCAACATTCATCCTACCATCCTGTGCTTTCTCAATATGTCTCCCAGCAAGAAGTAGGAAGATAAATAGACAGTTACCACCTTCAGACTTCCATCCATGTTTTATCTTAAAATAGGTTGGGGGAAGTGGGTGGATCCGTGTCATAAAGCATTTCCATCCCAGAATAGACTGGCTCATCTCATTCTTTAATAGGTATACAGAATTTCACTGAACGGCCACCACTGCAAAATTTTGATAATTATCTTTAAATTTCCTCTAAAATATTTTCTATGATTCATAAGGCCACCAACAGTGGGTGACAGAACCCACCTTCTGAATCCCCCACAAACCAAACATTTTATGTTTCTTCTAGGTCTCTGTTAGTCTTACTATCCTCTCATCATTTTTTTAAAGAGGGGTAGAGGTTGGTGATGGGCTTAAACTCAGGGCCCTCTAGGGTATCTCTCAGCTGTTTTGCTCACAGTTGGCACTCTACGACTTGAGCTATACCTCCAGTTCTTTTTGTGCTTTCTTTGTTGTTTTGTTTTTACTGGTTAATTTGTAAGAATCCCTTATATTTGTTTGCCCCAGCTGAACCTTGATCCTCTGAGCTCAGCCTCCTAAGTACCTAAGATCACAGGTGTGAGCCACTGGCGCCAGATCATCTCTCTATTTGTCCATTTGGACATCTTTTCATCTTTTATTGATACATTTCATTTGCTGTTTCTTTATGTTCTTCATCTTTTTTTTTTGGGGGGGGGGGGGGGAGGATGGGTTTTTTTTTTTTGTATGTTGGTCGTGGTACCTGAACTCTGGGCTGTCCCTCAGCTCTTCAGCTCAAGGCTAGCGCTCTACCACTTGAGCCACAGCGCCACTTCTGGCTTTTTCTGCTTATGTGGTGCTGAGGAATGGAACCCAGGGCTTCATGAATATGAGACAAGCACTCTACCACCTTCCCAGCCCCCTTTTTTTTTTAGTTTTTTTTTTTTAATGACTGTTTATTAAAGAATTTGACCATTTTTTTTTCCTTTAATACATCTTGAAATTATTCTTTCTCAATTTGTGTTCTTACTGTTTAGCTTTAGAGAATTTCTAAGCTTTTATGCAGGTACATTTACTGTATTACTCTTTTTTGTTGCTGTTGTTTTTAAATGATTCTAGGCCAGGTGCTGGTGGCTCATGCCTGTAATCGTAGCTATTCAAGAGGCTGAGATCTGAGGATCATGGTTCGAAGCCAGCTCTGGCAGAAAAGGCTATGACACTCTTATCTCCAATTAACCATCAGAAAACAAGTGGCGCCATGGCTCAAGTGGCTCAAGTGATATCCATAAGTGAAAAAGCTTAGGCCCTGGGGCTGGGAAGCTGGCTCAGTAGAGTGCTTGTCTTGCATGCATGAGACCCTGGGTTTGATTCCTCAGCACCATATACGCAAAAAAGCCGGAAGTGGGGCTGAGGCTCAAGTGGTAGAGCACTAGCTTTGAGCTTAGAGGCAGCACCCAGGCTCAGAGTTTGGGCCCCATGACTGACAAAAAAAAAGAAAGAGAG